TGCCTGATCAGGGTGAATGCCGGCTATTTTCAAGTCGGTATGCAACGTGTCGAGCCAGCGCTGTTTGGGACGCCCCTTTGGCCGCTTTCCTGGTACCTCGAGTTCGAGAGCAGTTTTACGGTGTCAGCCTTCGCGCGAAGTACGTGCCCGTACCATCGAAGGCGCGTTTCACGCAATTTCTCTGCTATGGGGGCTACACCATACTTCTTGCGCACCAAGGCGAGCCTCAACTTCTTTGGTCGCGGGCCAGCACTCGGCACCATATAACGCGACAGGTCGGACGACAGTACGATAGATCTTTGACTTGAAACGCTCTGGCATTTTCTTGTCGCAAAGGATCCCAGACATGGATCGCCATTTAGACCACGCCGCACTCACTCATGCGCTCACTTCCGAGTAGGACGAGGCCTACTATTAGTGTAGATTTACACTCTAGTTCGCTGCGGACGGTTGGGCGTGTCAGGCAGTATGAGTGTGTCACCAGCCGTTCTCTGCCTTCTTGTTGAAGCGCGCATGCGACAAAAAGTGGTAGAAAACGAGTAATACGAACGATATGATACATCATATCATTTGCTCGCTTTAACAACTGGTGGAGAACGGGTTTGGCACCGCGCCAAACTCATCCCGCCTGACACGCCCAACCGTCCGCAGCGAACTACACTATAGAGCAGCCTCTCCACTAACCATAAGTCGATAAATCACCTCATAGACTTTTCCTGGGAACCATCGCTGTCGTCAGTGGTCCTGTTGTGCAAGCAACCTTGCTATGGCTCAGTTTTGTTTTTGGTGACTTGACTCTCTAAGAGAAGTTGATCATCAAGGGGTCCTTCCCACGCGCATCAGTTTGATAGGTTCCGCTCCCCCTCCTCTGAACCCGAGATAAGCTTATCTGGTGCTTGCCATAAGCAGCGTCTTTACTGACAAGTCTCACTTCTTTGCGTATATTCTTTTCCCCATCTAGCATCACTGTAGATTATTTACCATGCATCAAAACCTAACATTTTTGCAGTTTGATTTCGGGCCGACTCCAAAGAAGTCGTCATTGAGTCTTGGTATCGTTCGAAAAACCGTCAAAAGGGAAGCAGAGGAGGATGAATACGAAAATACAGTTGTCACGAATGGTTGCGCTACAGTTAATGTGAAAGAAGAAGAAGAAGAAGAAAAGAAAGTGGTCGTAACCAATGGACTTGTCGCAGATTATGATTCTTCCGGATCGGAATAAATTCAATAAATGTGTATATAACCAATTTTGAAATCTGGTGGTTTTTTCACTCTACGGTGCTTTTACGGCAACTTGCAAAGTACAAAATATATAGAGGATCGTCGTGGATGAAAAAAGGACAGTGCGGGCAGCAACAACTAAAAGAATGTTATTGCTACCCATATTCATGTGCGCGTCAGCATCCCCCGTCAAGGTCGGGAGGTGGAGAGCTACGCTCCATATCCCAAAGATGGAGTGGGCGTGCTGCGTCATTCGGGTGCGCATTTGGGGGATATTTTCCTTCTTTTGAAGGTTCCTTAAAATAATGCGTCATATTAGCAGCAGGATGGAGTATCCTTACATTATAAAGCAAGAAACTTTTGTGTGTCGGTATATGCGGTATATGTAAGCGTACAGTCGTTGCATCCCCTCCAGACTAGGCCAATCCGTAATTGCGACTTCACTGGACGCGACGGCAGGCTGCAACTTAGGTAGTGTCTAAGATCGATGCTGCATTGATCAGCTGATTTCACGCGATATAATTTTTCTGATTTGCTGTTCATTTCTGCTAACTAGAAGGAAAAGTGAGTTCATATATTTACTCTAATTTAGAGGTTTTATTGTATATTTTGCTTTCAGTCGCTATTTGACTGCAGTGACGGTGTTTTTACCCACTTTTTGATTTTGTTTAGGTTTTTTTGTTACTAAAATTAGGACACGATATATCGACACTGCTATGGCAGAACAGTCCCAACCATGGCAAAGCACAAACAAAAAAAACCTAAACAAATCACAAAAAAGTGGGTAAAAACACCGTCACTGCAGTCAAATAGCGACTGAAAGCAAAATATACAATAAAACCTCAAATTAGAGTAAATAATATGAACTCACTTTTTCCTTCTAGTTTAAGGCAGACATAACAGGAATAATAAGAAAAAATTAATCGCCTGAAGAGTTCAGGTATCATGCAGCATCGATGCCACCTCCTTACTGCAGCCGCTGTCTGCGTCTCCGCAGTGAAAGTACGCAGTTAGGTGAATAGCCAGCCTGAGGGATTCACGACTCGTATTATGTATGTAATGGCGGTTTGTATGTCTCTCTTCCGGTCCGCAAAATGTTTACGGGATTTAAACACGTTTAGTCTGAAAAGAAGAAAACGGACCGCTAGCCAAACCGGGAACCCATCGGTGCAGATGTATCAATCCAATGTTTTGATTGTGATAACAGCATATATAAGACAACCACTCGGTACACTCCGAGCCATTGCACGAGCTGCTGCCGTGGCAGCTGGACGTGTGCTCGTGCGGGGGCAGGGTGGGGTGCGAGCCGGGGGGGGGCACACAGTACCCCGTCGCCCTCTCCTTCCAACCGCCTAGGCACGTGGCTCAGGCTGGACCTGAGCATGTGCTGACAAGGAGAGTGCAATGCGTCCGCGGTGACGGCGCGCGGCGGTTGTCGTATTATTGTGCCACGCTCGACGTTGTCCAAGCACGCGCGGCAACAACAATATATAAGAAAAACAACTCTCTCTAGACGTTCCAAACGAAAATATGCAACTTGATCGTAATAAAATAAAAACCTCTAGGGGATGACTGTTCTTGATTTCTGTAGATGTGGACATACTCTCTCAACCAATGCATATAAAGACAGGTCGCATAGTTGGCAACTTCTCGAGACCCTGCCGCCACCTTGCCAAGAGCTTGCTCGCCGTGCTATCTTCGGTAGTGCAGGCCACCTCCAGCATGGCCAGCCATCCCGGTGCGGTCCACCCAGAATATTTCTCATAACACGTCGATGCAAAGTCCCTGCTTCTGTGTGCCCGCCTCCCCGACCGATTCGTCATGTCCCTAGCTGGAAGCCCAGTTTCGACCCCTATACTTATGCCAGAGCTATATTTTCGCCTGGGATTTCATGAACCAACATATGTTAATGACATGAACAGCAGCTACATTATAGAGTGACGTCTTGATGTAGCTGAGCCGGGATTATATATCCCGCAATCTAGCAGTTATTGCCGGGCGTCTTAAACTATACAACTCTCATGCCCCTATAGTTTACCCGTTAGGATGGTTCTGCTTTGGTCGTGTCCAATTACAACCTGCACTATAGAAACCACGTAGTGCCCTCCGAGTCATACGAGCTGCTCGCTAGAAGAAGCTGAACATGTGCAGGAGGAAGTGTGGTGAGAAGGTGGGGCAAGAAGATATTGGGAAGGGGATTACCTGGGTGGGCATTAGGAAAAGGGGGGGGTATGATGGGAGCTTTGACATATTGCATACGATTACGAAATAACAGCTTGAACTGAGGAAGCAAATGCGCTGTGAAAGCGATGAGATGATGAGTGAAGGGATCAACCGCTAGCACGATCGCGAATAAAATTCATGTTATGCTCTCACTTTGGGGCTATGTTTCGGTCGTGATTACAACCACCCCAATATAAGAGAGCTATGTAGTGCACTCTAAGTCACTTCACGAGCAGCTCGCATGGCAGCCAGACGCGAACACGTTCAGGAACCATGGTGGGAAGGGGTGGGGAGAGCGAGATGGGGAGAGGGCGAGGCGTAGCGTGAGATGGGCTACAATGTGTGTTTAGAGGGGGGGGGGGGCGGAAGCTCAGCTTACGCTGGGTTAGAGATTCACCATTAAGTGAAGAAATCAAAGCATAAGGCTGAAGAGAAAGGAGACAACGTTTAACACGGTTGCGAAACAAATCCATGTCATAGTATCACTTCGAAGAGATGATCTAAGGTTACACCTCCACTATAAAAGAGGACAACGTTGTGCACTACCACTTCACTGCAGCTGTAGCAGGACGCGGAACACACGCGCATGGATACCGTGATCAAGGGGTGGGACGGGTAGATGTGGAAGGGGATAGCGAGAGTTGATCGGATCAGTGAAGACGGGTGAGATGGTTAGCTGTTGATCATTGCATTGCCTAACTGTGGAGGCAAAAAGATCAGTGAAAGCAAAGATATGAAGAGAGAAGCGATCAATCACTAGCAGATGGCCGCACCAATCAATGCTTGTCGGGTGTCAGTCTATAGCGATTTTTTCTGCGACAACAAAAGGACCAGTGGATATTATAAGGCAAGGAACGGTGTTATTGTCATACTTATGTTATGTCGTGATATCGACATGTTGTAAAGTATGAACTGATCGGAATTGAACCAAAAAGTTCAAACATTTGCAGTTTGGTTCCCCACCTGTGATCTGACTTTTGCACGAGCTTACATGAGCGGCAACCTTAAGTGACAAGCAAAACAAAAATGAAATGGCAACTCGTAAAGTAGTTGCAACCAATGCGCTAGCGTATGCGTAAACTCAGAGAAATGAAGCAACCACCATTAGAGCGGGTATCCTGCTATATATAATCCGCTAAGTGTGTCTCTGTGTGTTATGTGTGCGTGTTGTGTCGTGTGGTGGTGCTGTGTGTGTTGCTGATGTGTTGTGGTGTGACCCCTAGTGTGTTGGTGTTGTGTCCTTGGTGTGTGTGTGTGTGTCACGAAATTCGTAACCCCTGTCCCAGTGGCAGAGAAACGTTGATTTCCGGAAAGTGATGGAGGGGGCATGACAGGAATACCATTGGTGGGTGACAGGATATGATATCAGTTGATAAGATTCGATAGGCGTCCAAAGGGGATGGTCACCCAATCCATAGTGGGGGCCACAGAGCAGCAGTGGGACGTTGGGTTCCGAGCAATGAAATAGGGGGTTGGACGAAAACATTATTGGTAGGTGGGATGTGATGTCAACTGATAAGATCTGATAATGGGCATTAGAAGGGAAGGACTACCAAATTCATAGTGCGGCTCACAGGAAAACAGTGGGTCCTTATATCCGAGAGGTGATATAGGGTGTGGGACGGGAACATTATTGGCGGGTGACAGAACGTGATAACAGTTGATAAGATACGATAAGCGGCCTCGAAAGGGAAGGGTCATCAAATTCGTAACGCAGGTTACAGCAACTGTGGGACCTCTCCGAGAGGCGATATAGGCTGATATGATAGTGATAGGGACCGGGAATATTATTAGCGGTACGGATGTGACTAGACAGCTAAAAAAGTGACAAGGGTAAACATGGAAAAAAACCGCTTCACCTTTCACAACAACCACGCGATCGTTATGACTGAAGTATAACGATCTCAACGATTCCAACAGAACTCATTCCTCACTGCTTTTTAGTAACGACATCATGTACGACCGCTAAGCTAGCTCTATTCCAAATGCATGGGGTTTGTCAGACTTCAACGTTACAGAGATGTTTATGAGCGAGTTAGCAATTGACTTAATCACCCTCACCAACAAGATTATCTTCCATCAAACAGCTGCTAGTGAGGGCATTTATACAAGGGCATCTCACTGCTGAATGCGGGAATGCATTCCAAAGCAAGACGCTTCAGGAGGACAGAATGCTAAATTATAGGCTGCTTCAACGGCTATCCTAACAGGCTGCACTATTCCCGTGTAGTATATGAACGTACCAGTCGGATCGCTGGCTAAAGCCGCCTCTCCTCCTGTGATGCGGGAGGCGCTGCTGCTGCTTCTGCGTCTTGACGGGACGAGCGCTGCTTTTCAGTTCTTGGCTGATGCCGAGAAGATGTCCACTTTGGAACAGTGTGTTGTGGTTCAACGACCCGAACTGCTAGCACGCGAACACGAGCCGGCCCATGTCACAGAAGGAGGCTAGCGCCCGGCGAAGCTGCGGCTGATCGATGTCTGTAAATACCTGTTAATATCCTATGTTTAAACACATCCAGTTTGCCATGTTAAAATTGAAGTAACCGCGCCCCACGCCCATTTCATTCCACGAGGATATAGTGTGTACTTCACAGCTCAGTGCGCAAACCGCTTTTTTACATATAACGTTCGCACCTTCTCCTATCTCCTGAAGTGTTTTTCTCGTCTGCGCACAAGGTTGGTCCGATGCTTTCTTTTCTTATATTCATTTTTGAGCTCGATGAAGTCAAGGAGGACATTCCCGGGAATGAATTCAAATATGAACCTCAGGGATCAAAAAAACGCTCTTTTACGTTCGCGCGCAGTTTTATATCGTTAGAATCGAAGCGAGGAGCTTAGTGGAAATGAGGTGGAACATACTGGCATAATCGATCTGATAATCTATAAAAATGGCCATTGAGAGCAGAGTCATCGAGCAAGCAAGTCGACCTCACTTTGAGGCAGCTCAGTTTCGTGGTGGTCACGTTAACCTTTCTCACTCAAATAGTTCAAATGTATTGTAAGAAAATTAATGCCAATTGTATTGACAACTATGATGAAGATGTCAAACAGATTCAACAACTCGAGGTAAGCGATGATATTCATTTGAGTGAATAGGAAGACTTTTATTCGATGTCGATTAGCCTCACTTCTGCTGCATTGCATGCATTTGACGAGAGTGATGGAAAGGTGTAGCTCTCTGTATACTGCTTGCCGCGCAAGCAGATGTGGTCTTAGGGTTCAGAAAGATACAGAACTCTACTATCTCTCGTTTGACCACTGTTCATCGCGAAGGAACCTTAGCGCTTGCAACCCCCTCCGCTAGCATTCAAATGCGACTCCCCCCCTCTGTTGCCATTTCCATAGTGATAATATGCTCTGCGTATGTAGGTTGCCAATTTCTGTTTCCACGGAGGATGGAACACGACTGCTGGGGTCCAGCACGCTATAGGTTAGAGTTTCTGGACGTGTAAATCGCTGCCGAAACTAGCATTCATCAACGTGTCAAGGGGAGCAGGACGAGGTTGGAGTATGGTGGAGGTGTAGCAAATCCTACCAGTCAATGGAAGTGGCGCTTCATAGTGAATCGCTTTCTCGATTGAAACAGGGAGATAGTGATTGTTGAAAGCTCGGAATCGATACAGTTGATATCGTTGCAATCATTCGGATGGTTCGAAGAGGCATGGAATGAGTCACCCGTTGCACTTCCATTATTGGTTGTTTTCTTCCCGAATCGTTCACTAAGCAATCACCATTGGTTGAGCAAGGCAGCTGGAGCTGGGCTCATGACACCGTTCCGACTACTGGCGTTACCAAGTACTCATGCAATGTCTTTCATAATATTGAAGAATGAGATTCGCTTACTGGAACAACATGTACTGAACGTAGAAAATCGTGTTCGTCAAAAAGCTGCAAAGTTAGCAGAAGTGAGTTTGTTATTTGTGCCTAAAAAATCTTTTTCACAAAGCGCATCGTCTTCAAGACCCTTTGTAGCCGCCACAGTCACATCTTCCAAGAAACCGTTCATCTTTCACCCCGTGACCGGCATGGCCTCGTCGCTTTCATGGCTCGGTCATTCTGATGAGGTCGTGGTTGAGGGTTTCGAGCTTAGGTCATAGAATTTTCCAAGGTATCCACAAGAGCGCGCCGATGCCTTGAAGTGCAAATAGTAACTTCTTCAGAACCGTATTCATCCCTCTTCATCTGAAAATATGTTCTGATTGTGCGGTTCTCTCCTGCGCGTTCCTGCCCTGTGCTGGTGTTTTTTAGGAGCTAACACGATTCCGCTGTGGCTGCATTCATACCTTGAGACACTAGCGATCTCAGCTTTAGGCTGAAAACGGTATCCGACCGTTGTAATCGACGCGACAGACTCATCGGACTTTCTTCGTGTGCGCAACTCTCCACAAAAATTTCACATGAGTTGATGAACGCAATACTGATTGCGACGTTTATGCCTGCTTCAATAAAATGGTGAAATTTTTGATTTTAGTATGAACTACACATCAAAGGCTTCAAAGAAGATCAGAAATTTGACGAAAATTTCTGGAGAGAACTTCATCTTGACGAAAAGGTAACCCACCTATTATGGTCAGTCCTTGCACTTAGGAATTACCCAGCTCGATATACAGGTAGGCTGTTGTGGGGAATTTCAAACTATAGCCTCAAGCGCAACGTTCACAGTCGGATGCGCGATGAGCTGGACACAATGCTGTTTACCAGCCAATAGTTCAGGAGACGGAGGTGATGTCGTGATGAGTGGCACGCTTACCACTCGCGCTGTCCTGGGCTCGAATCCCAGGTCAACTCCGCGCCCAGGCCAGTCGAACCTTCTACCCTAAAGAGACGATAAATTGGTACCAAATAGGATGAAAACACTGACTTGTACATCGGCTGGCCCCCGCAAGTCGCCACATCGCATTCAATAAGCCACTACGATTCTGAATGGAAGTAGAATGCGTGCCGCATCCCACAAAGGGATTGATCAGCGGCGAAGACTCTATCTTTTTTATTAAAGGAGAGCTGTCTTCATGAATCAGTAGAACGAAATTCTACGGATAATGGCGTCGACGGAAATAATGCTCAAGTATGTGCTCTGAACTCTGTGTACGGCAACGTTCAGACTTCGCGACGGCAGCGCTTTGGTCACGCGTTCGACGCGATCAATGCAGTCGAAAGCATGCGCATCGATCGCGTCGAACGCGCGACCGAAGCGCTGCCGTCGCGAAGTGTGAACGCTGCCTACAGTCCTCATCCGGGCAGTTGATTAGGCGGTCAAAGGGTCGCAGACGCGGCTGCGGCGCGTCACGACCGCGGCGATCAGCTGTTTCCAGCCTATTTAGCCATTTTCTCCCTAATTTTCACTGTTTTATTTAAATTTTTTGCTGAATGACTGAAATGGCTGAAAATGGCTAAATAGGCCGGAAACAGCTGATCGCCGCCTGTGCGACCCTTTGACCGCCTAATCAAGTGCCCGCATGACGACTTTAAGATACAGGTGCAATCCCTCTTTGAAAATCACTTGGATTTCAGTTGTTTTCAGGACAAGAAGATAAAACCTGTCTCAAGTGATCAAATTATCGACTACTTTTTACAGCGACTTCGTCAGCAGCCACAATAGGATTTGCTGTGTGATACAGTCAAAGCTTATCGTTTTAATTCTCTACTAAATTGAGCAGAAACAACAAACGTTATGAAATGGTGAAATGAAACATGGATGCAAAACCTCTGTTGTACAAGTAAAAGAGAGACGTGTTTCTGATAAGCACGATGAAGGTGGTATATAGATCCTTCTCATAGGCTGGGAAAAAGTCCAGCAGAATATTCTCTTCACTTGAAAATCACTCAAAATCATAAAGGAAGGTGTATATTACTTGGGAAAGCTTCTTTCTGATTCCGCCCACTCCCAAACCGCCTTCTCCATAAAGTATATAGCCTGAAATCTCCGAACATCCTCTTAGCAGCCAGTGTCATATTGGAAACTCTTTATTCCCCCTCCAGTGCAACCGGACCATATTTCGATTCCTCTCCGACGGAAGTTCGGTTCTTGGGAGTAGTCTCACTCCCTCACAAGGACGTTTTTCGCTTTGAGCCCAAACGTCCGGCAACCGCGTCAAAGTCATGCACGCTTACAAGGGAGGTCTTTGAGGTCGTGGCGCGTTTTTTAAAAATGGTTTGTTGCTTGTTGTAGGGGTCCATGCAAGGTTTACAAAAATGGGTTTCATTTTTGCTATGCGTTTCTGGGGAAACTGAGTGAAAACAATTTGACGAGAAATCGCGATTTTAACCGTGTTAATGGGCTCTGTTGTAGCTGTAACTTTGACAGTGCATAATTCATGAGGTGTCCCTTCACTATGTATTGAAAAGATAGCAAAGTAAAGCCAATAAGAAAGTGGACGGAGGGGAGTAATACCGAAGTTACTTGAACGATTCTCGCAACCGCTGTTTCGCGGTCGGCGGATGGCGGAGTGGATAGTGCGGTGGGCTCTCGCGAAGAAGGTTCTTGGATCGGATCCCCTTGGCGACTAACTCTTTGCATTTTTCGGATACTTTATACGTTTTTCGGTTTTGGATTTACGACACCCATTTTTGACCACGGCGCAGCCTAGCGCCGACTTGCTGCAAGAGCATTCTTCCACTGAATTGTTGCCAACCCGCACGCAGGGGCTGTTAAGCGCTCATCTCGAGGAGAAAAAAGTCTGTATATAGAGGTTATTAATGGCCCTGATGACGATTCTGACCTTTAAAATTGGCGTCTAGGTCATTTGGCGCCAACATGGCTCTGAACACCCCCTCACGCCAGCTGCGGGTTGGGATGCTGCGAGAATCTCTTGAGAAACTACAATGCTGCCTCACTATGTGCCAAATAAAGTACTTTTTTACCTTGAATTGTATTGTTTTCGATGCAGTGTCGACGAAGGTCTCATCTGCTATGCATACTTAACATTATGAATAGAAAAAGCCTCGGAAAAATGGTTCAAAATCGCTTCTCCCCAGCAAACTTTGCACTCAGTTTTTGACCTACCCAGAAACGCATAGCAAAAATGAAACCCATTTTTGTGATCCTTATTCGGACCTCTACAACATGCAACAAATCATTTCCGAAAAGCGCGCCACGACCTGAAAGACCTCCTTATAAGTGTCCTCCACGATCTCTACCATCCCCCACTCTTCACCATGCATGTCTTTGAATGAAC